TATCAACTGTGCATTCTCTCAATTTATTACATCACACTCAAATGTATTGTTTTGTGCAATCAATATTAACAAAGATCATGTCCATTAAAATGTGCACACTGTTCTGCAGACTGAATACAGCACATAAAACTTGTTGGCTTTAATCAATGAAAATCCCAGAGCTGCACAAAAATTGCTGGGTCATGAAACTACAAAGCTATTAAACTGTGGGGTTTTTTAATAAATCTCTTTTTATATGGGCATGAGTAGCTAATTCTTTTATAAATTATTAAGTATCCTTTTCTTTGTTTGCATCATATTAATACCTAAGGGACTTATTAATGAACCAGGACTCCAGCTGCAATGTTTCCAGTAGCTGGTCATATAAAAGTGAGAAATGCCCTTACATAGTGTCTTTGACTTACTTTTAAAAACCATTCCAAATTGGTTTGGATAGAGGCTACGTGAGTAAGGCCAATATTGCTACGTGAACTGAAAACTGGCTGGCAGACAGGACCCCATAACCTGTAACGAGCACACAGTGACGGTCAGACTAACGGGGCCAGATTGGGGGTAACATGGACAAGTCTATCAGTGAACTGAAGCTCCTGGAAGGCATGTGGTATTAAGCTGGATGCTTGGAAAGGTACTGGTGTCATGCAGCAGTGGGTGTGAGCAAAACCAATGGTCTAGGACCCAGATGTTCTTAAAATTAATCTTGAAGACATATCCTAACTTCTTACCCGGAAAAGAGGCAGCTGTCAGACTACGGGCTCTTGATCTATGAAGTGTAGAAATTCCTTCTAGGCTTTGGTTTAGCTTCTGCTGCGTCTAATAGAACAAAAGATTCAGAACTCATCCCTTCCAGAAAGAAAGTAGGCAGGGAGAAGACATTTTGGTTGTAACATCTAGGCTTGAGGAGGAAGACATAATAGTGGCCAGGGTCCCAGTAGAAAAAGTCTTCTGCACCTTTATAGATGATTATTGCTGCAGTTGCCTCAAAAGACAAGTTTCAAAGTCTTGAAATCGCATGATATTGAGGGCCCCTAAGGCTGGTTAGAAGTGACTACAGCTTTTCACTAGTCTGAATCTAGTCCACCTCAGTACTGAGGAGTGCCTGAAAGTTAATCCCATGATGAATAGTCTTCACAAAGTTGGCTGTTCCTGGTCCACATCAAAACTGGCATTAAACAGCAGTCTCAATAAAAGATCAGAGGAACGTGAGCCAACTTAGGCTATCACCCTTGCAGATTGTGTTTGGGGTGCATTCCTGGGGCTCTGGAGGAGGCTTCTAATGCCACTAACATCTTTCCTTTTCACATGCACAGAGATAAAGATGGCAAGTTATCAGGGTGTGAAGCAGTAACACCAAGTGTGTCCTGAAGACTAACTGAACAGCGTAGGCAACACCCTGAAATAACACGAGATAAAATGACTCCTAATAAGACAAAAAAATCAACATATTTTAACAAGGCAGAGGATTCCCCTAAGCCCATTCTGAATAATTTTTTACTTTTTCCCTAGATTTTTTTTTTTTTTAAATATTTTCATCCTGAAAGAGATTACCAGGATGGAAAATTTTTGCCTGAACAGATAAACCTCTGCAAAGCTGCAAGTGACTACAAAAGGGACATAAAATGAGATGTGTCATGCATTTCTGTGACTAGGAACCATTGCATTGCCTACGTCTATTATGAATGAGCATGGATCATTCCTCACTTATTTATGATGAAAACATAGCTTTAGAGAATTGAAATGTCAATGTCAATAAAGTCAGGATTTACTGAACTAAACAAACACATTTTCTCGCTTGCTCTTTAGAATTGCCAAAGTTTTCTCACTTTGGACTCGTCAAGATTTCCCCCCCTATGTTTCTAAATTCCTCTTTTGCAGCTTAATATAACACATGTTAATTTCATTTTTAGAAGTCACAGCATACCAGTAGGATTTGAGGTCAAAACTAAGTTAGCTACATACCCAGAAAGTCTAATAATTTTAAAAGTTTTCGGGGTTTTTTGCGCACCAGAAGAACTAGCCAAAAAACCTGAGGAACTCCAGGATTCAACCATTTGATTTCAACTGATCTGCACATAAAGCCTGAGAATAACATCTTGGAGATCAGTTTGAAAACATATTGTGAAGCCATGGATAATATTTCTAGACAAGCAAGTAGCAACATTCATAACAGTCATTTAAATGTGCACAAAAAGAAGTATATAGCTACCACTGGTTTATAGGAATATATAACTAAAATAATAAATAAAAATGTACCGTATTCAAGCTGGGATCTACCTGTGAGCTGCAGAAGATAATCCTCATTAGTATAGATTCTCTGAGCGGTGAACAAAAACCCCCTGATATCTGCACGTGCCGCACCAATGCATTACACACTGTGGCTGTACAAAACCAATGTAACTATCAACAAATATGACATGGGTTGACAGAAACCAGAATTTTCCATTCTCTTCTTCTAAAACAAGAGGGACACCAGGTCTTTTTTTTTAAATTTATTTTATAAATCAATAGCTTTATAAGCATACAAATAAACCAAATATATTATATTTGTATCGAAATATCATTTCAAGGTTTTACACTAAAGATTATTTTAAGTTTAGAGCTGAGTTTAGGAAACATTTTAAACTCAAAACACCCAATTACAAAAACATATCAGCTTGATTTTCATATCTTATTCTGTAAGGAACACTGTCGAATTTAAAATTAGATCCTTAGACTGGAGGAAAGCAAAGTAAACAAAACATAGGATAGAATATGAAACTAATTTGTAAGGAGTCTGAAACACCTTTGTTTAGACAAGATTCAAAGTTACAAATCTTTATTTACTTTGATCGGGGAAATTTCCAACTAAATGTTGACTGTCATTCAACACAGCACTTTGATTTTAAGCACACAAACATATTTCACCAGAGATAACCAAAGTGCAGTGATCAAAGTCATTTTACTCTCTAGTTCTCATGGAAATAAAATGCTTTAGTGAATTGGGGCCTTTATAGCTGGACTCTCTTCCCATCAAAATACACAAGATCAGTGATTAACCGTGAAAGACCAGGGAATCCAGACTAGATGCCTTTAACAGTGTTAATGAATAAGCTATACTGAACTTACAATCAAATCTACCAAATACTAATGGTTCAACCCAGTGGTGGTTCTCTCTTGAACACAGTTTAGTATGCCAACTCTCCTCAACCACTTCGCTTTCCATGGAAGTACCGTTGTTGTCATTCACACAAGAGAATGCATCTTCATTGCTACTAGTTCCAACTAACCTCTGGAATGCCTAATTTACAAATTTATTCTGAGTTCAGAACTGATGTGATTACAAAACAGACTCAATAATTCAAAACCACCATCAAAAATCACTTTAGAAGATAAACAATTAAAAGAAAACTCTCTACACAACAGAGCTTTATAATTTTTGTAATTTAGACACCTTGGGCTCAATGTTCTTACTGTTTACACCAACATAAATCAGAACTGATTCTGCAAAGTTACTCAAGTGTGTAACTGTTTTGGACAAAAGGTAAGAGACATTCAATACTCTTCCCTGTCATTGGCCTACAAAGCTGGTAACCAAATGACATCCCATACCTTCCTGGCAGGATTCTAAAAAACCAAAAAGCAGGATGGTAGACACACATATTAATAACATTTGGCACTATTATCCAGCTAATTAATTACAAGAAACACTAGTGGTGGACACTGTAGCAGAGTTTAAAGAAGGCATCTGATAGTTATGGTAGTAGGCTTCAAAGATAGAGGATTGAGAGACCCCCCCGCAATGAAAAAACATTTTTAGTAATCTAGCTGATTTCCAGATATGTTCCAAAACGTTCTGAAAACAGCCTTAGGAAGTCAAGATCAGTGGTGAAAATCACTTGATATGATAAAAAACTAAGCTAAAACTCTGTATACAACAGACCTTTATAAGTGAGTTAGTTCTTAGTAAATAACTGGAAGGGAACTGTAGCTGTTAGAAAGTCAGTTACAAGACAAATTGGTGTTGTTTTCCAACTGTTCCCATGGCAGCACAAATCAGTTACATGGAAGTCAGTCTAAACTGAGGAGGGTTTTTTGTTTTTGTCCCACTCCTCCTGTTCTTTTGGAGCAGCAACTGGCTGGACATCTTTCCGCACACTAAGTCCTATAAAATGGACCAGGTTTTGCTGCCAGACACATTTCTGTGAGGCAAGGACAGCTCCAGCACGTGCTTCCTCGCAGGGCTGAAAGCAGACTCAGCCCCCCTGCCTCAGTCCAGAAACAATCCTGCAATGCTCTGAAGTACCAGTGTAGACTGGAAAATTTAATGGAAGAATCACTTTTCATCTCAAGAGTTACCTCTGACTTCATAGATGTGACCATCATTAATACCATATGCTCATAAACAATCGTCCAGCCCACCAAACCTGAGAAATGCAAGATCCCATTTGGTGCTCACTTACAGGAGCAGATACGAGAATCTCTCTGGTGAAGTCCAAGAAGTTACACTGACCTGACAGCAGTGCTGGGGAGAGGCTTAAAGTGTCCATGAACAGTATTGTAATAAAAAGATTCATTATTAAATCATTTTCCTTCTTCAACTTCCATTCCAGTTTCTCTGCAGTTGTCCTTGTGGCCCATTTTCTAGGCAGTTTCTGGACTCTGTGTAAGACCACTACTTGCAACAAACTCCATTAGAAAATACTTATCTCTGACAAATCACCCACTCCTCTGTTTTCTCTTCAGTATCCTTTTAGCAGGCAGTTAATGAAGTTAGCAGCAGTGACCATTAAAGTGATACTTATAGAGTACTCATTGCTAATACATTGCTCACGGTAATTCTTCCAAGCACAGATGACAGGGAAGGAGTGGCAAGGACTTCTCTGTTCTGTTTTGATTTGTGGTTGGGTTTTTTTTTCCTAGACCAGATTTTAATGAAAAAATGAGGGTTGCTTCAGTGTTTCGTGAGTTCCCATTCTCTACAGACTTCATCCTTCCGCCTTTTCCCTCTCAAACCCAGGCTGCTTCTAGTCTGGCTGCATCAGCCGGCTGGCTGGGGCAAGCTCGCAGGGCTCCCTTTCCACCAGGGGCTGGGAGTGGATGCTCCAAGGAGGGCCCTTCACCATTCCCATGGGCTGACGCAATTTCTCACCAACAGGAATGTCTTGTCGACAGCCTCGTTCTTTTGCCAAAGTCTCTGCTCCTTTGTTGTATGTTACAGTCTGTTCTTCCACTGGAGGAAACGGATACGTATTACTGAAAGCCATTTGAAAAGCTTAACAACTAAGCTAAAAGAAAGCTAATAGCAGCTTTGGGAGAGGAAAGCTATGAAAGGAAGCACAGAACAGGGTTCAGAAAATTACAAACCCAACCCATGTCAAAAGAACAAAACGAGGCAAAGTCAAGAACTTGCTACAGATTTTGCCGAGGACAAGTCATTTCTTAAATGTCATGGTTTTCTGCTTTAATACATAAGAACAGGATAAAGCATGCCCGTGACAGGAAGACTACCTGCCTGGCAAAATTAAAGCCCCTGCTCCAAAGTCAAAAGATCCTAGAATTAATTCACTCACATAAGAACCTTCTTTAACATGTTAGAAAAGACATCAGATTCTTTACTAGTCTTGTTGTCTAAAATGTTTGAACCTCTTTTGCTAAAATTTTCAACTAGGAAAAAAGTCAGACACCTGTCATGGGAAATTTCTGTTCCAATAGCTGCATCTGATAAAACGATAAATGAAAACAGAGCCTCCTAATGGGAAACATCAGGATTCCTTTCCTGGACAATACAGTTCTACACATGTTCACAATATTAGTCCAACCAAGTAAATGTGAGCCATATTTTCTACTGATGAATAAAGTGACTTCCCAACATATGTCTAAGGACAGGATGGGCAATTTTGAAAATAATGCAAGGTGCCTGCCCATTCGAGGATCCTCAAACTTTTGTCTTTGCATATTTCTAAATGACTGATGCAAACCAGGTTCTCTAGTAACTTCTGTAATTAGAAGGTATATATGGTAACTAACACAAATGGTTAAGGGTATCAGTCTTTCTCCTCCATCAGTTCTCACCATCTGAGCAATTAGGAGCTTCAGTTGCCATCTATAAGGCAGCATATCCTAAAACTCAGAGTGGTCCAGCTGGTAACCTGAGGGCCATGGAAGCCTGTTGTGTGCTTCTGTGCTGCCTGCTGCCTTTGCACCAGGGATGGGAGGCACATCTTCATTCATTGCATCTGTGTTTAAGCACCAAACACTCCCCAAGCAGTCAAACACCTCGTTTAACACAAAAAGCAGAACTGCAGTTGCTGCCGCAGGGCAAAAATTTTCTGGGGAGACCTGGACTCCTCACACCAGTTATGCTGCCTGAATGAATAAGGACCGTCAAAGTATATTGTTTCACAGATATACATTCCTCATCGGTATGAGGGGCATAACTTCACTTGTTATGAAGCGAACCTGTGAAGTTCTCTATAAATATAAAAATATGGTATTATTACGATCATGAGAAGCATCTGGCTTCTTACGAGTGTGAAAGCACTGTTGTGGTGTAATTTCTCATGAATAATCTGCAAAGTGAAGGACTGAATGGTCTCTTCACAGCAATAAAAACATGTTTCTGCTGTGTACAACAGCTTTAAACAGGCCAGAAATATAATTTTGATTTCTCTGTCTCCTCTATCAGCCACTGCTTCTGCTGGTACAAAGGTGAGGAGAGTTCTAATAAGGAAGGAAACCCTACTCACCATATTCTGAAGGACAGGCAGGATGAGGATCTGCTGTCTCACACTCAATTAGATCAACCGCTTTAGTCTCCAGAGAACTGTTACACTCCTTAACAACCACAAGCTGCAAATACATACAATATGCACAAAATATACAGAGCCCAAGTTAATATAAAATGAACTGGTTTTCTGAAACCCAAGGGGAAAACTAGAAGGGCCACACACTCCAACCACAGCAGGGGGAAAAAGGTCATCCTGGCTTCTGGGATGACCCTTCCCCTGCAGGTAATTAAACATTAGAGTTGATGACAGCCCTGGTCTTCCTTTGGAAAGTGTGCAGTCCCAGTCTAGTAAAGAGCTACCCTGTTCTCCTGCCTTGCAAATCAACCTTTCCAGATTCAAGAACAAAAGCTCATGAAAATCAACCCTCTCCATAGCACTGAGAGCCACTTTAAAAGTATTAAAGAGACCCACAACCAGACAGCAGGAAATCCTGTCAGACACAGGGAAAGAAGCAAACCTCCCTTTCTGGGGAGTGCAGTTCCATCATCCCAGAGATGGACATCCACTTCCCAGTGGAAGTGACACCTTGGAAGCAGAAGATGGGACCCTCTGGGGGAACATGCTGAAAAGACCAGGGGGAAAATAGAAAAAACAGGGGTAGAGGAAAGCAATGTGAAGCACTGCACTGAAGCAGTATA